AGGAAGCCACTTAGAAGCATAGTGGGTTATGATGGAACCAACTAGGTCAGGCCGGGACACCTTTGGCCTTAAAGCCAGAGAGAGTTCTAACAAAGTAGTCCATGTCGAGAATACATGCATCATCAAACCAGCATTCCGCGCGAACGGAGTCGGTTTGCGGGTAAAAGTGGCAGATTCCGATGAGGTTAGCTTCTTCATTTTTTGTGAACTAGTAGTAGTAGAAGAGGCCACTAATAGAGAGAGCTTTACAAGTAGTAATATTGTGTGTGTTTCTAAGACATAACTCAACTAGGATTAAGTGAATGCCAAATAAAATCTCTTCTCCCTTAAGGCATTATTTATAGTCAAATCAAATTCATTTCTCGAATCGTGTGTTATGTAGTTATCTTATTATTTACTACTAGCAGATAAAAGGGTAAAAGCCTGAGAAAAGTATAGGCACCACATATTTTGTTTGGTGGGTTTGTGAAACAGTGGGTGTTTTTTGGGAATAACATAAGAAATATGAGATGGGTGGTCCGGAGGATGAACCATTATTGACCGTTGGTATCTCGAACAAGGGTGACGAAGAGAGAGATAGAGAGAGAGAGAGAGAGAGAGAGAGAGAGAGAGAGGTTTCTGTTAGCAGTCCCTTTCATTCTATTGGGGTGTTGTGATGAATTATGTATTCTATATACCAGAGAATGATTCACAATGTGTCCTTGGGTGGAATATCGCATTAATGAAGCTTGTCCTCTCTCTCTCTCTCTCTCTCTCTCTCTCTCTCTCTCTCTCTCACTCACGGTCATGATATATTGATATCCTCTTTGAGGCCAGGACTGATTACTATCCCATTCAAATTCTGTAGCAAATGTAACAAAAAAAAGTATTACATGAACATCTCGAGTCTTTATGATATGTAATTGTGAGCGAAGAAATATACAAGTTAAATTTACAAATAAATAAAAAAAGTGAGATGTTTTCCCTTTATAATATCAGATGATGAATACGACAAGAAGGAATTTAATTGTAACCCCATTTAAAGTCTAGGGACTTCATTTGTTTTCCTTGATTGTCCAGTGACCAAATAAAAATCAGGTACAAAACAAGTTGCCCAAATGATTTCCTTATATACATGACACATATGCCAAACTTTGTATTTTGCAAAGTATATATATATATATGTGTGTGTGTGTGGCCCTCGTGATCTTTAAGCTCTGTTGTTTGATAGCCAAACAGGCGCATGAGGCCCACAGTGGTCCTTAACCCCCCCCCCCCCTCCCCCCTCCCCTCCCCTCCCCTCCCCTCCCCTTCATCCGGGGGCCAACACACATCAATGCTGCTTAAAGAATATCATGACGAGCAATAAGAACATAGCTCTACAATATGGAATTTAAATTCTCTCTGTTACTTTTGCACATAATTTTATTCAATGATAAATCATTCATCATATATAAATAAAGGATTCACATATAAATAATAGATACCATTTTGCACATTACAATGTTTTGTTCCAGATGAATCAAGATTTTCTGATTAACCAATAAATTATAAGATAGATTAGCAATAAAAAAATATTAAAACAATTCAACCCACACAAATCCAATGCTAATTCTACATATAGATCCATTATAGCATTAAATGCATTTCATTATCAATTCATTGGTCACAATATATTATGTCTCTAAATTATATACCAATAATATTGCTCATATAGATAGATACAAGAGAGAGATAATGAAATTAATTGTTGTGATTAAAAAGTACACATTTTTAAGTTTACTTTTTAATTTCATTAGGGGAAACTCATGCCTGAATGTATGATAGAATGTGAATGATTTTCAAAGAGATATTAGTGGACGTTAGATGAGTCTATTTAAAACTGTCTTTTTTTTTTTGGACGGGAAGGGGGGAGATGATAGAGAAAAAATAGGTTTGAACTCTTGACCTCAAGAAGATAAAATTTTCACAATATAAAGAGTATCATTAGACCAAAGTCCATTAGTATTTAAAACTTTTCAGGTAACATTGTTGTTCACAGTATATTGTATCAAATCCTATGATCGAGTTTAGAGGCTTCACCGTGCCCAAAAAAAATATAACTCATGGATGTGGGATGGTTCTGTCATAGATATATTGAGTTAGCCCACCTAAAGCCTATTTTCTAAATTCAGGACCTTTGTGGGTGAAGCCCATTTTAAAATTTTCAGGTTTTCCACGTTCAGGGCCACCGCGGGTCAAGCCCGTTTCAAAATATCTCTCTAATTTGGTCCTAATTTCGGGTTACTCTACTCAACCCATTTATCTTCTTCTCTACAATCAATCAAGCCATTTATCTTCGTCTCTCCATGCATAGAAATCGATCTGTGTCTGAATCGATGCCGAGTAGTACAGCGACGATGGTGGGTTCATCGAGCTCATGGTCTCTGGCGTTGGTGCGAATCTCTCCGTACACATTCTCCGCCATCGGAATCGCAATCGCCATAGGTGTTTCTGTTCTCGGCGCTGCTTGGTATAATTCTCTAGTTTCTCTCACATCCACAATACGCCATGGTTTCTATTCGCTGTAGTTCTTTTGATTTGTTGTCTGTCTGCTAAAATTGACCTTTTAATCTTGTTTTCGGACCAATTCGTTAGGGGAATATATATAACCGGAAGTAGTTTGATTGGAGCTGCTATTAAAGCCCCCAGAATCACATCCAAAAATCTTATCAGGTAATTTTTTTGAAATTCACTCTCCCAAGTTCAGTGTTGTACTTGTTTTGGATGTTCTTCGTTTTGAAATGGTTTTGTTTGATAATATGTAGCTTGATTGATTGATTGAGAGTTACCTGTTTGTTTGTTGGCTATACAATTTCATCTGCAAATGTAAATTTGGAACCACTCTTAGAAACTTTCATGTCAATGCACCATCACGGAACAAGCGGCTAAGTATTATCATCACGAGTACCTTAGAAAAGTCCAACTGTTAATATGCACCACTTGAATTGCACTTAAACGATGGCTATTGGGCCTACTTCTATGGTTTCACCAATATACTCTTTCATAATTCTATCATGTCTAGTATTGCAGAAGTATCCTAATATTCCCTTTTCTGCTTAGTTTTTTGACATATTGTTTCTTAATTGCATGGCTATCCTAACATTCTCATTTCCACAACTCATAGTTTTTGAGTTACTTGGCCAAAAATATGTATCATAAAGTATTGTCAGTTATCTAATGGTTGTCATGTAAAAGTTACCTTACAACTTAAGAGATATATATGAATCACATAACACATCAGACGTATTCCTTTACTTAGTCCATCCTGGTTTAATTTTACAATTAACATTGCTCTACTCTTCCCCTCCAAATGAATAGTTGATGCAAAACACTGAAAATGTCCACTCTACTTTAAGGTTCATATTATGATTACAGGTTATCAATTCAAACTTTAAGAACAAAGGTATAATGTGTCAAGTCTCAATTGCGATATAATATACTTGCCAAGAGCGGTGTAAACTAGGTGAGAATAAGTAGGGCTTAAGGATTTACCCGAAAACAAGGGTTTAGCATTAAAAAGTATAGTGCTTAATCAAATAGGAAATTAATGTCAAGGAGAACACATCCAATCTGAATAGAAAAGGCCTAGATCTTGAATTATGAGCCAGTGTTGTGTTTGTATGAGTCTGTCTATGCCCCTATGTAACTCTATCCACACAGTAGACACAATGCATAAGTTAGGAGAACAAATACAGCACATTGAAATTGGGAGAGTGATAACAAGGAGGAGTTGTACGTGCTTCCATAACTATGGTACACAATTCATCGGCATAAGGTATCTTCAAACCTTATTCCTTTTTTTCTTCTTTTCTAATGCTTTCAAGGATAGAATTGATGGAAAAGATGGAATAGAGGGAAGTTACATAAGAATATGAAATCTTAAAATTCTTGAATAGATAAGCATTTTGGAGGGAAAATAGTATGGAGACTAAATTCCCAGCTACTGGCTTTTCCATCCCCTGTATCAGTTGAATAAATCTCTGAGTAAGTGGCGTAGTTATTCTCAAAGCGCCAACTCCGAAATCTAGTTAGGAGAATTGTTTGACCAAAGATTTCAACCAGTTATTACAAAATTGGCACTTGAATTTAGACGACGTAGTAGCTAGTCAAACAAGTGAGTCTGTGCTGGAAACACAAGAACCGCTCCCCAAAATTTTCAAGTGACATTTCCAGGCTGAAGTCAATTGAAGTCCGGTCTGGTGTTTCTATATAACATTAGAAATTCTTCAGTTTGAAGATATATTTTCTTTTTATACGCCTTGTAAACTCGGCATAGTTTCCCCACTTTGCTATCTTATCTAACTTGCATCTTCTGGTAACTAGTAGAAAAGTCATGAGACTCTTGACCAATATAATCCTTGCTAATGCATATGATGATGATATCCTCTTTTTATGCATTTTCTAATCAAGTTTCCAAATAATGCTGACTAATGTATTGGACGAAATCTTGTTCAGTTGTCCTAGATGCAGCCTAAATGATGATGATTTGTTGCTTATAAGTTGTATCTGGAAACGATCAAGTCTTGGATCAAGGCAAAGTTTTGGGTCATGTCTTCCTTCCTATCTTCTCCTGATCTTAGTGAATCTCCTGTTCTATTCTTGTGAATATCCTACATCAGTTTGGAGAATATTAATTACAACATTTTATAAGCTTCGCATTGCTGCTTCTTGTTCTTCTACTTCTCCATGTTCTCTGCATGTTTATACCACATCTGATGGTGGTCAAACTTTGAAATCTTTTGTTTGTCCTCTCAGTGTAATTTTCTGTGAGGCTGTTGCTATTTATGGAGTCATTGTGGCTATCATTCTTCAAACAAAGCTAGAAAGTGTCTCCTCATCCAATATTTATGAACCTGAGTCCCTCAGAGCAGGATATGCCATCTTTGCCTCAGGAATAATAGTGGGCTTTGCAAATCTTTTCTGCGGGTGAGCCTGAATTTCCATCCAATGGGATTGAATTGCATGCCATTATTTAGTGGCTTATGATTACAGTCCTAATCTTTATTGCTCTTTGGCTCAGGTTATGTGTTGGAATAATTGGAAGTAGCTGTGCTTTGTCTGATGCTCAAAACTCTTCACTTTTTGTTAAGATCCTTGTGATTGAGATCTTTGGTAGTGCACTTGGATTGTTTGGCGTGATCGTGGGGATAATCATGTCAGCTCAAGCAACATGGCCATCTACGACAGGGTGAGTGCTTCTATTGTCCACTAGGTTATTAATTTCCTGTGGTTGTATGATGTATCTTCTTCTTTGTTGTATTATCCTTTAATTTTTGGATTGAATTTCCAATTACTTCGTTGTTCTGCAACCTTATATCGATTTGGAAATCCAGCCTTAATTTTATTGGATTTGATTGCATTTCGTTCAGTTTTAGGTCCAATTTTCTTAATTAGTCAAGAAAAAAAAAAATCTCGAGACCCCCTTATTTGGGTGATGTTTGAAGAGGCTAACATGACATTAGGCTTTGTATTTTAGTCTAGTGGGTGTGACAATGGAACTCAATTACTGAGAAATACAAAGACTCGGGTTGAGTTTTGGGCCATGGATCTTCAGGTCTGAAGAACACCACAAACCTATAGCTGGGAGCGGCAACGAACACAAGAATAGCGCAGGAAAATTAATCGGGTTGTAAATTCCATCCATAAGAAGTTGAGCCCATTAGGCATCACTCAGGTCAGAATTAGCCGCCCGAATACCTTTTAACACCTCTAACCTTTATGAACCTCTGATCTGAGATAAAGCATTGTCGTAATCAATAAGGTTCCCTTTGAATTTGAAAGATTATCTAGACATTGGCGACGTGTGCTTTAGCTGAATGCCCCAAAAAAAAAAAAAAAAAGGTTGTTGGTTTTGTTCGTCTTTATCCTACCGTTTGTCCACAAAAGTTCAAAAGCATTGCAAAGCATCATTCACCTTGGTTTGCCTCTTGTGCAAAGACGTAAACCTTACATCTTTGTTAAAACTAGTTTGTGATTATGATTTTTTGGCCCAGCTGTATGCCATGAAAACTCATCTTCGATTACTATACATTTTCTTTTTAACCGACACAAATATGACACGTATAAAATTTTATTATTTTATGTTACTTTTTCAATTATTACAGATGAATCAATTAAAAATCAATAACTAATAATTATTTTTTAGTGTGATACTAAAAAAAACATCTTATGCAATAGCTTCATCCATATTTTTAGTTCTTTTTTTTTTAAAAACTTTTTCTAGTGGCATTTATTTGTGTTTTCGCTGCTTTGTTTTTTCGCCCTTAATCCAGATTTGTTGTCTTCTTAGAAACCTAACCTAATATGAAATGATACACACACACATATACCCATAAAAATAAATTATTTATGTACTAACTATTGTTAAAAAAACAATAATCAAATATAGACGTCGGTGAGCAGTCTTAGTAGGCATCAATCCAATCTGTGCGGTAGGTGTTGAGGTTAAGTAAGAATAAAAAATGGGGTCCTACCGACTATACCTTTACTTTTTTGGCATCGTGCCGAAAAAAATAAAAGTTGTATCGAAGCCAACTCCTAAAAAATTGTGTCCCTCAAGCGCAGCTAAAGTTAATAATTGGTCTACGAATAAATCTTTAAATAAACAAATCTCTTGGCTTTCATAACAATACTTGTGCAATAGTTACACGCATACGAGGAATGAAGTATCAGGGTAAGGGCAGAACATACAAGGAGCATAACGTGCTCATTCTGACAAATTATGTAAATGTTCTTTTAATTAATCAAAATATATATAAAACAATAATAATTCAGAATATTACATTTTGTGCCCATTTCTTCACCACCTTCCCATAGCCCACCCCTCCACACACATACATAGAGGGCTCAATTCAAAGCTTAGCTACCGTTACACTTTGGACCATACCTCTCAACCTTCTCATCAATCCAAGCCCTCATGTCTCCCAACACCAAATTGGCATTCTCATCAGGCTCACCCTGTACAAGAGAATGGTACATTCCTTCATACAGCTTCAATGTCTTGTCCTCACAGCTTGCTTTCTCATACAACATCTTCGATCCTGACGGGCAAGTGATTCCGTCGGAGGTCCCGTGCGCGACAAAAAAGGGCACGGTCACCTTGTGGAAATTGTGCTGCACGAACTCACACATTCTAGCTAGCTCCCTCATTGTCCCGACCCTTGGCTTCCCTGTATATCTCCTCGGATTGCCGGCGATGATCTTCAGTTTCTCCGGGTCTTTGATTGCCTTGCCCACCATTCTATTGTCCGGCAGCGATGCCCATGTGTCCGCCATTCCGAACAAAAGTCCATACATGAACAGCCGCACCTACAAGGGGTAAATTATTGATATTTATCAATCAAAATCAACATCTTGCTTTCACACTTAACAAAAATCATTGTAAGAAAGTTTTGCTAAATTCTTGAATTTAGCAGAATGGTTTCCTTAAAAGTAGAGTAAATAACAATAAAATCTATGAACCTTCTACTTGTGTCAATTAATCCCTTATATACATTCACTCACACATGGCAATATGACCAAAAACTTAATCGACACAATTAGAGAATTTTGTGTCAATTGAATCCGTGGACTCTTTAATTTTGTAAATTGAGCCCATCTATCCGTCTCGTGTGCCACTCACATGACTATATGGCACAAAAAGACAAAAAGAATCAATTACTACAATTAGAGAGTTTAAGCGGTTAATTGACACATAAAAAAATTCAAGGTTTAATCGACATAAAAATTATAATTTGAGGGTTATATTTATGATTTGCTCCAACCATTTGTCTCCCGTGAGTGGAAACTTTCGCCAATTTCTGTTAAAAAGTTTAACGGGGAGACAAACGAAAGGATTCAATTAACAATTAGAGAATTCAGATCTTCAAAAGATGATAGTTTAAAGGTCATATAAAATTTACTCTCAAAAGTATTCAAGACACCTGAAAATTATGAAAAATCTTTAAGTACGAAGTAGAATAGGAGGAATTGACCTTTTTGATTTCCTAAACTTGTCCCCTTTCTAGTTTCTAGCTCGAATTTAGATTCAAAAAATCTATAGATTTCTTGAATTTAGCCGAATGTTTCCATCAAATCCAACATGAAGATATCTCCAAAATTATGTAAACAACTTGAAATTTCCCCCAAAGTTAAGATGTATGAATTGGAGGAATTGGCCTTTTTGATTTTCTTATCTGTTCCTTTGAAATTTTTTTACCTTCAGCGTACAGATGAATCAAAACACATATTACACTAATTGGGGGAATAGATCATTAAATTGTATGTAACATTACCTTGGATGGCTTCATGTTCTCGGGCATGACGAAGAGTGGAGCAGAGAACATCACACCAGTCCATGTCTCTGGCTTCGATTGGAAGTACATGAGAATCGTAGCAAGCCCACCCATGGACTCCCCAAACAGAAAAGCAGGAAGATGCTTATAAGTTTCACTCTCCCTCACACTCACAAAGAACGACAACGACGTCGCAGCAACCTTCTCCATATCTCCCAAATAGCCACGGAGTCCATCGGAGCGGCCGTGGCCGAGGAGGTCTGCGGCGAAGACGGCGTAGCCCCAGGTGGCGAAGTTTATGCATATCTTCTGGAAGAGCCACCCTGAGTCTGAGCCATAGCCGTGAGTCATGTAAACCGTGGCCTTGATGGGAAGGTCAATGGGTATGAAGGATTGGGTAAAGATTTTGCCATTTGGAGTTTCGAAGTAGGACTGGGCATTGCGGAGGCCTTGGGAGGTGTAGTACTCTTCTTCCGGCATGTCGCCCCAGAAGTTTGGTGGCACAGTGGCGGAGTGCGGCGGGGGTTGTTCGGAAGGCATTTTTTATGGTGTTTGTGGTTGGGGTAGTTTTTAGGTATGAAGTGGTTCTGACGCGTTTTTGTGAAGTGGTGTTTTCTTTATAGTTGGAGGAGAGAGGAGGAGACAGAAAGTGGTTTTCACCAACCCCGGAATGGTTTTTTTCTGCTGAGTGTGGTTTCGGGGCAGGTGGGGAGGGTGGTGGGACTCACTTAGTGGGGTCCACCACTAATAGGAATCGAGTATGTGACTTTGAAAAAATTGAGTCCATAGGATTGATCGGATGAAGTTGGGTGCATCGATGGGACCTTTTTTTTTTTCTTTCATCAGACTCGATGGGACCTTCACTTTTTTTTTATTTTTTTTGTTTTGTGTCACGGTCTGAATTTTTAGGTTAATTTACATGCATTTAGAATAATTTTTTTTTTATTCGATTAAAAGAAATTCATTCATGTCGAAATTCTATGATTTGTCCTCAAAAAATTGTCAATATTCATACTCATGACGTCTGAATTTACAATTTATTCTTGTTATCTCTTGACTTTCTAAATATATTTAGATCACCGGTTAAAGGTGAATACTTATGATAAGATAGGATAAAAATTTCACGTGTGATTCATATATCTCATATTTGGTAACTAAAAAATGTATATAAAACCTCATTCAAAATTTTTCTCGACTTGATTTGAGAAATTAACTTAATCTACCTACATGAGTTATATGAAATCCATACACATTTTTTTGTCGGATAGGAAATTCTTGGTTAATTTTGTAAACATTTTATGTTGTTAATGGTTGATGATGTGTATTTTTTGTGGTTATAATACATTTAAAAATAGTTATTTTATATTCGAATGAGGTGTTCAAAAAAATAGACGTTTAAGTTTACTTTTTTATTTGGAATGAGTTGGAGACTAATTTATGAAATAAACATGGTAATGGATTTGATAGGATATGGGTAGGGACGACAATGGACCAGAAAAAATAGGTATTCGTCCAAATTCGTCTCATTTGAACTGAGGATAAATTATACGTATTAGACGTTGGATGTATACAAAAATATCTGTATAAACCCGTGCGAAAATGAAGACGGGATGAACTTACCTTATTCCCGCCCCTACTTATCAACCCTAACTTACTCTCTTCTGTCAGTCGGCCGCCTCCATCGCACTCAGCTCTGTCTCCTCTACTTGCTCGCCGCTGATGTATGTCCATAGACCTCAATCCTCTATTTTCAACCATAACAAATTGTCTCGCAACATGCTTCCACCCACTTCCTTCAATTCCTTTGGGAACAATCATTCCAGATCTCTTACCATTGTTCAGTGCTTTTAGTGAAGTCTGTTTCCCTCCCCCATCCTCCTGCTATTCCATTTCACAACTTGCATTACCAAATAGTTCCAACAAATCACACAATTCTTGTTCAACGAGAATGAAAAGTTATATCGACATCCCTCAGTAACGTAAATCAACTCTCCAGTAGTGTCCCCATTGAAGTTGGCCAGAAATTTTTTTTGTTAAATCTTCAGTTCCCTCTTTACTCTTAGCACAGATGAGCACCAAAGACAGAATAGAACATCTAGTAGTTCTCAATAAAGTCGTTCTTTTTTAACAGTATGAAACCTCTGCAATTAAGATAATGTTTTTATTATTGATTACTTGAATAATCATGTCTGGCTCTGGTTTTGGCCTTCCTAGAAAGGATAAGACATAAGAATTAACTTCACAACATTGCAAGACCTTTCTTTCATGAGCCAGTTTGAGAAATGCAATCCCTCAAAATGGGTTAGGGGTGGGTTTAAGAATGAACAACATTTTGGAATGACTTGGGTTTGGGCTTGAGCTTAGGCTTAGGCTTAGGCTTGGGTTTGGGTGGGTACGGGGGAAGCGAGGACAGGGGTAAGGATTAGAAATTTACTCGCGAACAGGAGGAGGGATAAAAACTATACCCATTAATAAGGGTGGACGGGGGATGAACAAAGTTTTTTTAAGCGGGTACGGGGATGGAGACTACACTCCTCACCCCTGCTTTAGTCTATTGACATCCCTAGATATATGTATAATAATCGATGAGAATAAATTATATCACTATTATTTATGGATCCTACAAAAAAAATATAATCTACCCAAATAAGAGAAATGACTAGATATACCAATTTATATCATATTCAGATGACAGTTGAATGTGTTTGAATTGAATGTCTATATAATAAAATAGTTAGAAAAGTTTGTATTGAGCTTTTCGTGGCTCAGATCGCTTGACGATTATTGATCAAACGATTCTAATTGGACTTTTATTTACAACTCTAAAACTTACACCTCTCATAATTCTCTCTCTCTCTCTCTCTCTATATCTATCTTTATCTCATACACTCAACTCTTATATATATATCTCATATTCTCTCTCATTTAGTATTGTTTATTTTGATGATACTAATTAAACTTTTATTCTATCTTTATCTCTCTCTATCTAATATTCTCTCATTGTTTGTCTAGATATCCTAATTGAACTTTTTTTTCAAAACATACATTTGTATGATTTTATAAATGAGAAAATATTTAAAATGTTAAAAAATTTGCTAGGTTATTGACTTTCAAATCCAAATTAATTACCAATAAAAAAAAACAAGTGATATCAATTGTGCTAAAAAAAAAATTAAAGTCAAACTAATCACCAATAAAAAATAACAAGTGATATTAATTGCACAAAAAAAATTAAAAAATTCAAAGTTAAGCTAATTACTAATAAAAAAATAAGTGAAACCAATTGCACAAAAAAAAAATTTCAAACCCAACTATAAATTTTTTCTTCCTTATTTGCATCAGTTTTCCTTGCTAATGTTCATATTTTTTTGAATACTTGAATAGTGCTGAATAGACAACGAAAACGACAAAAAAAATCAGTTAAATCAATCTTTTTTGAAGTGGTGAAATTTTTATTTTGTTGATTTGGTTTAATTGGAGCATGATAATATTTTTATAGCATCCGAAAAATCACAGCGGCAAAGAATTTAAGTCAATTGTACTTACAGTTATAAGCAAATTTGCTAGAAATGTTAATTCAGTTGAGCTTTTTTTATTTTTTAAAAATTTGATTTGTAGTTCAGTGTGATTGATTCATTTAATTTGATTCAAAGATATAATTGTGTGTGTTCTTAATGATATTTCTTATTAAAACTAGACAACTTATTCATTAGATCTAACTAGAGGTTAAAAAAATGAACACTCATTTGGTAGAAAGAAAAGTGGCTATAAAGAAATGTATGATAGGATAATTTTATAACGATGTTAGTTTAAGTTCATTGGAATTCTCAGATTGTATTAATGTGATATGATTCTTCTTCATTTTAACTCTTGCATTTCTTTTATTTTAGACATTTTTTGATGCCCCATTTGTTTAGTGTATTTTTTGTATTAAGAATGCCTTCAGGCACAGGTAATTATTAATTTAATTAAATCTTATCTAAATGACAACTAAGTGAATTTAAATTAAATAAAAAAATAATATATTTTTAGATATTCAATTCACTTTAATCCTGTCATTCAAAAATACCCGCATACTTTCTTTATACCAAACAAAAATAGATATTTCTCCAATTCTACGTCTTAAAATATTTAAAATAATTTATTTTTTCACCAACAATGAGAATGAAAATTAGAAAATTAGAAAATGGATAATTTATAATGCAGCATGTGGCATTTTATCACCGAAGCTAAGATTGAGTAGGGTCGGCTCTTGTAGTATTAGATTCAATCGTCAAATTTATATCATGTTTAGATGAATTTTTATTCACTCATGTATGGAGCGAGTCTAGTTATTTAATATATATATCATTTAAAATTATTAATATTAAATTTAAATTCACTATTTTTTGTCAAATATGTACTCTATCAATGGATCATATGTTAGATTATTAGGCTTAACTTAGACATTAATTTAATATTCTTTTTGATATATCACTTATTATATAATATATAATAAATTTTAATTAAATTAATAATATTCTCATAAATGTCGTAAAGAATCCATTGTAGTTGTAAATATTGTCATAATTGTGGTATGAAATCCATTGCACTTCTAAATATTTCCAGGAATTTGGTAACACATAACACCGAGATTGTAATTATTCTCATAAAAAATTCATTGAAATTGTAAATATTACTATAAAAGTGATAAATAAACCATTTAAGTTGTATATTATTTTTGATTAGTCATAAATTAAGCACACATCTGTGTGTTCTGATCGATCGATCATATTTAATGATCGATCATGGACTAGTAAATATCGTAAAAAATACCATTGAAGTTATAAATATTTCCATAAAAGTGGTAAATCCAATTTTTGTTTAATGATCAAAAATATTTGTTTAATGATCTATCAAACATATTTTTGATCTATCAATTAAAAAATCCAATTTTTGAAAAAAATTTAAAAAATTGGATTTTTCTCAAATTTAAAAAAAAAATTGATTATTTTCAATTTTTAAAAAATTGGATTTAAAATTTTTTAAATTTTTTTTTCAAACTTGAATTTATCATGTTTGATAGATCAAACATATCTGATGTCCCCAGTATTTATGATTTACAACAATTTGATTGATCAATATAAATTTTTGATCGATCCAATATGTTTAATGATCGATCTGGTAAGCAATTCATTAGAGTTGTAATTATTCCTACAAATTTGGTAAATAATTCACTGAAGTTGTAAATATTCGCATAAAGAATCCATTGAAGTTATAAATATTCCCATAAAAATAGTAATTGATCCATTGAAGTTGTATATCTTCTTGAATTAGTTGTAAATATTCTCATTAAAGTAATAAATATATCACTGAAATTATAAATATTTTCACAAATTTAATAAGAGCAATGATACATGGACTCAAAAATAATAGACTTAAAAATTAAACTTAATAATCTCAACTATTGATTTCACTGTAGGTCTTAACATTTATTAGAACTCATTATCTATTCAATGGTTGAAATTATCAAGTTTAAATTTTAACTTTAGTTTTTAAGTCCATCTAGCATTATTCATTTAATAAATATACCACTACAATTATAAATATTTCCTTCATTATAGTAACAAAATTACTAATAACCATGATATATTATCTGACATGCCATTTTAATGTCTTGTCTTGTCTACTAACCGGTGAAATTGTAAATAATTCATAAATTTAGTAAATATACCACTAAAATTATAATTATTTTTACAAATTTGAAATTTTCGGTATGACACCGAAAATTCCATAGTTTGTGCCGTAGTCCTCTCCGTATGATAAAATTGATTGAATATCAATGCAGGGTAGATAATCGGATGACAGAAAAGTTGAAGAGAATTTATCGTGGAGCCCGTGTCAGTGGTCGATTCTTGATTGTACATGAAGATTGCGTTTCTTCCTGGGGGGTCCCACTTGTAAGATGTGAGAGTCGTTCAAAGGCAGGCTTGTGGAGGGTCCCACATCATTTCACCAACCACAACTGAACCGCCTCTCCTCCAATTTCTTTGGCGTGAAGGAACTAATTACAAGGGAAAGGCTACGATACCAAATTATTATTAATTATAATAATTTATTTGAATTATAATTTAAATGTTGTGAATATTAATATCTTTGTATATTATTTCTCTTACACTATTTAATGTGACATAATTAAAATTATTGAATATTTAATAAATTCTATAATATCTATTAATTTAATGATCTACAAAAATAGTATATATAGCATTATTAAAAATAGAATGATAGTTGTAGTAAGTTTTTAAAAAAACGAAGCGGAATATATTGTTGTTGAATAATTTTATGCTAACTAAATTTTGTATATCAAATTAGCATGAGTAGTTGGATCAATATAATCTACTAATTCCACTACATATTTGATTTATAAAATTTAATAAATAAATTTAGACCGTATAATTTTATCCATTGTGGTTGGTATTGAGGTAGGTTAGTTTGGACTTGGTCGTGTCCAGTGGGGGTCCCCTAACCCAAATGCAACCAACCTAACATACTTGAAATTTTAGTATTAACATATCAATTTAGGGTGTGACGACAAATACACACATTTTATATTTCAATTACAATTAAAAAGTTCTGTAATGAAGGCGTACAAGTGTACATTGGAGCATAAAGGGCCTCAACTTTTTAAAAATATCTTATGCCCTCGTAGTTTTTTTTAAAAAAATTTATACCTTTTCTTAAGGTTTCAAATTTTTTTATATATGTAAGATAATTGAATTAGTATATTTAAAAACTCTAGGGTTTGATTTTAATAAAAAAAAAATTCGAATATTAGTGATATGAATGAGTATATCTATATTATAAATTAGTTATTCGCGGTTGAGATCACTTTAAATTTACTTTAAAATTAATCTAACAGCTAATATTAACACTCTAAATTTCATACGAAAAATAAACTTCTAAGGATGTATTTGGAGTAACTTTTTAAAAGTACTTATAAAAATTATTTCTCATAAATATTTTTAAAAAAAAATAATGTTTGAAACCACTCCACCACCGCTACTGTTGTTGCCGCCACCACCACCGCCACAATCCCCGCCACCATCACCACCACAATCATTGTTACCCACCACAACTATCACCCTCTCCTACCACCACCACCACTGTCGTCCACCATCTCTTACCCCCACTACAAATCGATACTTAAATTCTTTTATATTTTTTTAAAATTTATGATTTAATTTTGGATATGAATACAAATATGTTTATTGTTTACCATTTTTTTTAGTATGTGTCATTAATTAGTCTCTTATAGAGTAAGACACATGTTTGTATGAGTCTTATGACCCGAGAGAAAAAGAATAAGAAGAAAAAAAATGCTTTAATTACATACATCATAATACGTATTGATTATAATATTTACGACAATAATTTATTCATAGTTATTGTATCATTTAATGAATGAAAGAGTAAGTAGATCACAACACTATCATTAGTTAAGTTTACAACGAGAAATAAGAATCAATTTTTAGATTTTTAAATTTTATGTCTCAAATTAATTTTTCCAATTCATTTCATATAGAAGTTGACTTTATAAGTTTTATAAAAATAAAAATTTAACATTAAAATTTTTAACTAGGTGACTATTTTTGTTTCCCCTCCTTTATGATAAGATGTTACTTCCGTTCCGTCCTTGCGTACAAGCATAAGCTTATGTTTAATTAGTGAGTTGGCCACCAAAAACAGCAGGACAAGATTCAAATCTCGTTATGGGTGTTTTGGATGGTAAACCGTGAATAAAGGCCCAATACAAAACTCACTCACTCACTCACTCAGAGCATGTGTCTGCTTTAGATATTAAGAAATAATGATCGAAAAAAATATATCTAGACCCATCTTATCCTCTTTATTCTCATGTTTGAACATACACTTTAGGCCCGGTATTATCGTCTAAAAATTAATTTAGGCCTGAATGAATAGTGCATTTATAGCCACATACATCTTCTTAAATAAATCCACCTATTTGATGGGTTTAAATAGTCTGGTCGAGGTATATTTTCACAAAAACCATTTTTATCCTCAAAAATCTCTAGGATATAATTATTTGAAAGATTTTTTAGTAATTTAATGTTTATATTATAATTATTATAAAGTTTTTTTTTGGGTAGGGTAAGATAGATATTATAAAGTTGGTCCTCATTAAGTAGCAATTTTTTCGTTCTTCCCTATAAGCACCAGCAGAAGTTACCTGTTTGGACTGAAGAGAGGACTAAATCTGGTCCGGAAATTGAATTTAAATCTCCAATGCCCTCAGAGCCAACAATGCCCGTATAAACCCGATATTCCACGTGATAGCAGCACAATCGTAAGCTTGCCCCCAACATTAACATCATCCTACCAAATCATACGAACTCGTATAAAAGTTAAGACCATAGAGAGTAAATAATTATACATGCTTCTCAGGTTCAAACCTACAAATTAACAAGCCAAAAGACTAAAAGATTGTCGTTCAATCTTTGGAAGATTTATTGATGAGTGACTTGTGAATGTGAGGGATGACTCCACCACCAGCTATGGTTCCTTTGATGAGGGTGTCAAGTTCTTCGTCCCCCCGGATGGCAAGCTGCAAATGCCTCGGTGTTATGCGCTTTACCTTCAGATCCTTGCTTGCATTGCCAGCCAACTCTAGTACTTCAGCGGTCAGATACTCCAATATGGCTGCTGTATAAACAGCAGCTGTTGCTCCAACCCTGCCATTAGCTGCAACCCTTGTCTTCAGTTGACGGTGAACCCTACCCACTGGGAACTGCAACAATTATGTAACAAAACGGCTGCTGATATAAGAATATTATAGTCTGTAATATACCGGAAACACAACGAATGTCATTGTTTTCCCAGAAAAAATCAGCATAAAAATAGAAAAATAAACTTGTCAGCCTTGTCTGAGTAAGTAAAAAACACCAAGGTTTTCCAACTCTTATTAGCCAAACTTTAACTGTTCAGTAAGTTTAATTACAAACATACTCAACTCAACTTAGCAAAACCTTCTCCTAATATATTTGGGGTCGGCTTCATGATGAATTACTAGCATGCCGATCATTTTTACACAATCACTACTTTCAAGGTGATACAGTCTCCAGAGATCACAAAATCATTGCAAACAATGGCCACATTGATGACATGTGACTTGTAGGACCTAGAGGTTACAAAACAGACTAACTGACAATTTAAGTCCCTTGAAGAGCTATGTTTACAAAACAAAGGTGCAACCAAACATATGCAGCTTTTAACCCCAAAGGGCATCCGCGGCTACCCCTCTATTGGGGTGATACACGCTTAACTCTAATGGGTGTGACCATGAGAAACATGGTCCATTAACTACAATTAGATGACTAATCGTAAATTTCCTTGCTCAAGAATTGTCAATGTTAGCCTCATGTGGTACATAGCATGTTTTTTGGATAGATGTTTTTCACTGTTTTTCTTTTATGTAATAGGGCCGGACGACTTGCCCACCTTCATTCGAAATTGTAATTTCTTTCTCTTTTTTATTAATAAAAGTTTATTTCCTATCAAAAAAACACTCCAAATATATTTAAATTAGAAACTATTGAATTGAAGTTTTCACGTGAATACAAGGTCTTAGCTGACACTCTCCACAAGACCAACATAACTCCTTTAGATTTTAAAATCACCACATTTTGCAACATCAAGGTATACGCAAGGACAAAATAAATGCATAGTGGTAATTTACAAATTTTTGGAGCAAAATTTGTGAGAAATCCATTGAACAAACCAAACATCTGCTATGATGAAAAGTACGTGAAATCAGTCAAGCAAACCAAGCACTAAGAACATTTTCCAGACAGCTCATGAGCAACCTCAGTTTCTTAAAGCCATTTTGAAATAAGAACATGGCTAGAATGTGTCTTGTACATTCACCCCTTATTAAGTTAGCTCAATGGTACTTGCCTCTAAGCACAAGAAAAGAATACATAAAATGAATATATGTCATAGTTGCCAATGCATAAAATGATCTCAAAGACCATCGAGCACATGCTGCAGTTGAGAGACTAGATAATGCCTCACATAAATGTCTATTTTTCTTCTTCTTTTTTTACTTAAATGCACAAAAATCCTGAAACTGCACAACATCATTGAGGTGTTTCAAGAATAACAACATTAAAGAGTTCGAATGCAAATGAAAGACATAAGCACTAAGATTATATATAAAAGAAAGCTCTGTGTGGTCCATCAGAAGATATTTTTGCAAAAAGTTGAACTCAAGTACCATAATGCCATTATCTTATAAACAAAAATAGAGAAAATATGCACAGTAGATGATGGCTTAACGGTAACATAACTCTCCCTATAACTTCACACACCGGGCCATCATATTTGCTTACCAAAGCAACTAACAAGTTTCAACACTCCATACCTCAAGGCTCAAGTAAGGCAGTAACTTCAAAATTGCACACTATAACATGAAAACTTAACTGTAATGATGCTATATGACATCCCTAATTTCTGCTTGTGCCATTGACATTCAAACCAAGTACTCAACCATGGAAAAATCACATGTTGACATTGAAATCATCCCTCTTGAAAAAGCTGAATAACAAGAAAGTTCCTTAAACCTAAAGACCGACATGCTTATGCAAGAAAACTTTCAAACAATCCATAGGAAACAGAGTAGTTAATGATTGTGTTATCCACCTACCTAAAAGAATTCAAAAAGAGACACAATGAATTTTTTATTTTTATTTTTTATTGAACAACCTCCCGTTACTCATCAAAGGGCAGCCTAACGTTGGGCCTTTCTTTTCACTTAGATACTCCCACATTTGACTGACAACCTCAAGGCAAGATTGCATATTGCAACCAAAGTCAGTGGTGGAGCTACAGTAGGGGGCAGCTGCCCCCACGACAATTTAAAAAAAATAAAAAATTGGATGTATTTAGGATTTTGAAAATTTTAGGATATTGCCCCCATTAAAATATTTTAAAAGATTTAGGGGTACTTATGTATTTTAAATGTGGGATTACTGGGGTAGTCTCTGCCATTTTTGTATATTTGCAGCCTTCCAAGTTTAGTGGGGTCAATGTGTTGGCCACTAATGTATTTGGGACTAGAGAGCTGAAGTATTAACTCTCCAACAAAAATATAAAGCAATCCTAGCTGTATATGTCTTCACTCTTAGATCCAATGATATCAAATGAAACAAAAATTTGATTAAATTCCAGAAAAATATGCATGGATGGCTTAGAGTAAGGTATACACCAAAAGGGTTTGATTTGGATCATATTGGATCTCTTTACGCCAATGGCATCCATTTTAACTATTCGTGGTGCTCACAATTTTAGATATGTCAGGGAGAATTTAGGCTTAACAGATTTGGGTGAATGAGTTGACCCTTTAGATCTTCCAAATAACTAATTTGATATTAACATGGACATATGCAACACAAACCCAATAAGATATGAACATGACTATACACGATTATAAAATTGCTTCCTATGGATTTTTCTCTCTTGGTATTCCCATACTTTTTGTTCTTTGTCTTTTATCTTTCCTCTCTTTAGTCTTTCCTCAATTTGTTTTTGAATTCTATCAGCATTTATCTAGTAGATTGAGTGAATAAAGGAAATGATAGCTTACAAGATTTTGTCAGAGTTATTGTGAGAGATAACACATAAACCATTTCTTTAATTTCGGCAGCTTTTGTGACATTTTTTATTTTTTTAGCACCACAATGAGGATTTTTATTATTACTACCTTTTTTTGGCTAACAGCACGCAATAGAGCTTTGACCATTTGAATTTGAATGGAAATATGACTACTAAAACCGATTGTGTATTAATCTCCTTGGAATATTATGTACTATGATCGATCTCTTAGAAAATTGGATAATGAGGAGGGCATAAAGAAATTCAATTCCAGTTGAGTTTAAATTGGGGTTAGAAAATAATGTGCAGCCGAGGAACTGTGTTGGCATGGTATATGGGAAGTGAACTAGAATAAGTTGTGATACATTATATAGTTTGAAAACTTCCATGTTGACGCGGCAAGATTACAGACTGCACTACAGTGGACAACAATTTGATAGTAAGCTCCAAAATTGAAAAACAATTAAAAAAACGATAAGCTCCAAAAACTAACTATTTCAACTCAAGCAATTCATAAATTTCTCAAGAAGTTCCCGATATAAACCAATATAAATCTGACAAAAATTAACTCAAAACCCTGATCATCAGAGCGAACAACAACTAATCACATAAATCGAAATCAACGGCTGCAAATAGATAGAGTGATGTACGGAGAGAGAGAGAGAGAGAGAGAGAACCTGAAGACCAGCGCGAGAGGATCGAGAGACGGGCTTCTTTTTGTCCTTGTCCTTGTTTGCCCCGTTCAGGGATGAGGAGGATTTCCCCATTATCAGACCTTTCGCTCCTTTTCCCGACATTTTTCCTTCTAAAAACAAGATAACCTCCGCGAATTAGGGTTCCCGATGGTTCGATACAGAGACGGTCGAGAAATCTACCGCAGAGAGCGAGAGCAAGGTCGAGATGGAGAGAGACTTCGTCGGGATCGATGGACGAAGCTATTTAATCCATATGACGAACTTACCCCTCCCTGAATCCCTTTCGTTAGCTGAAAGCATAGCAAATACTGTTGGACCCTGAATTTAATCTGTAATTTTAATTATAGCCCCCAAACTTTTTCTTGTGTTAATTTAACCCATTTAATTCTTGAGTAGTTTATCCACAGTATGTTTTTTGTGATTTGTCAATGGGAGAGAGAATTTGACAACAACCAAAGTTTGAGTCACATTGGATCGAAGAGAGGTGAGAACAACAATATTAAGAGAATAGAGATGACAAAGATAAATCTTGGCTCAAGGTGAATAGTTCAAAATCTTCAAATTGAAAGAATAAAAATACGGTTAGAATTGCAAAAGAGGCGTGATTTCAATTCAATTGAATAGGAAGAAAAAGTAAATTGGGCAACAAAGGGACATCGATAATAGAAAATTTTGATGGTTTGCAATGTAATTGTAAATTAAACTGATGGGGCTATAGGGTAGAGTCATCTTCTCTCCTCATGGACTTTGTTTGAGAATTTTAAATATTAGCAAGGGTAAATGAATCACTTTTCTAACGAACTTTATGAGCTTGAATCTGACGATCTTTATTTTTCTAAATGACCTTATTTAAGTTTAACTCGATTAGAACTCGAACTAAACCTGAGCTTGAGACTTGATTATAAATGAGTTAAGTTATTTACATTCATTTTTTTAAGTGAGTCTGAAAAATTGTTCAAGTTTAGTTCGTTTAGAATATGAGTCAAATTCGAGTTGAACCCAAATAACTCATCTCGACTAACACTCCCACTTAAGAGCAAACATGGACCTTATTTGCTGACCTTTTTATTTTTTGTCATTACCGGTGCATTTTACTATTAGTTGAGACCCCGTAGTTGAGACCCCGACGGCAATGATCCATCATATCAACAAATAAAGTCACTAAATTAAGTTTAAATAGCATTTTCCAACACTGAAATAGGTTCTGCTGCTTTGTAAGCAGCAAAGAGAAGAAATGCGAAAACAAAAGAGAAGTGCATCTTTAGAAGTTGTTTCCATTTCAAAGAAGGATAATTCCATTGAAGACACACATTCTTACAACTCCATAAACAGGCCAAGAAAAAACGCACAATATCCCTAGTCAAACATCTGCTGCCTTTTCCTTGTCGCCTGCCTTGCCTTCTTTGGCTAGATGAAAGCCCTCAATCTTTTGTGTGACCACATCAGCTGCAACCTTCACATTATCAGTTGGTCCATTTGCAGGAGATGTATCATGCTCATTATGATTCAAAGGCGTCTGCCATATTCTGATGGTTCCATCTTCAGATCCTGAGGCATAAGATTCACCTCCTGGAGAAAATCGCAAGCAATGGACTGGACCATGGTGACCCTTGTTGCATCCTACAACAATGTGCATGAGTAATCACAATTAGCCAATTAGGTTAGGACACGGCAAACTGAAGATAAGTCAGAAGCACCACCATCAAGCCAACACCAAAAAGGGTGGACGCTAAAAACACTTAAATCAGGATTTTGTTGGGGTTTGGATTTTTCTCCCAGGGAGCTGAGTTTGCCTGGTGGACACATTAACAAATATCAATGATAGGCTGCAAAAATCCAAAGGAAACTTGGACGCATGTTATACTTTTTCAACAAAACAACTAAATAAGAATTTTGGCAGGTTTCCTAAATTTGTGCCAAATAGAAATGTGGGAAGTGTCAGTTTGTGGGTCAAAATAGAATCCTCACACCCCAATCAAGTGATCTATCAAACACCTACATCCAATTATCAACAGATGAAGTACTAGCCAAGGAAAATGAAGGCCTTTGGTCAAGTCACATACCAATCTCTTCTCCTGTAGTGAAATCGAAAACATGAACCCACATGTCTTCTCCTCCAGCAATGAACTTATTACCATGCTTTGGTTCCAGTGAAGCCGATTCTATATTGCAGGGCATGCTGTGGCTCTTCACCAAACCAAAACTGAGAAGAGAAGTGACATTGAATAATTACATACAAGGTATTGAGGCATTCAAGCAGATCCACTGCCTGGAGCAACAAGTTACATAGATTCATACTTACTGATTTGCATCCCAAAACCTAACAGTGGACCCATCAGCAGTAGTTATATATCGGCCATCCTCACTGACTTCAGCACTTGTTACAGGTAACTTGGTCCCAAGTGTCTGGACGATTTTGCCACTTCTCATGTCCCATAACCTGGAGAATCACCAGTATGTTTTCAAACTGAAATGGACAGTGGGAGGAGAATAACCAATAGAAGATAAAATGTTCAAGAATTGCAGTCTGAATAACCACCCATGCAGTGCAAATGCAACAGGCGTTATCATAAATCAAGAGCAACCTCTATACTACGGAAGACAACAAAAACAGGGTTTATCTGGTTGCTGCTGTGACTGAACAAATAAGGACATTTTGACACATACAAGAGTGGACAAGGCTGGATATCACCAAATGTTTTTCACAATCTAAGGCCAATAGAAAGGATTGTTTAGGCTGCCTTTAGATGAAGTTCAGCTGAATTCCACACAATATCAACACTGAACAGAGATGTAAATGCATCAAGGAGATTGCATTATAAAGTTAATGTGTTCTGGGACATTCTGTAAACAGGTTTAATTGACAAGTGACTGTAGTAACAATAAATTTATAATTTTCAATCCAGCTCAAGACATTAGGTTGATGTATTTATGTACTGTAATACCGCCCCATGTAATTGTTACCCTTTCAAATAGAGGTTGTAAAGCCCATGTAGAAGTGGCCCCTGTTCTATGGACCCTAAAACAGGAAAGTAGATTTTCGGCAAATCATATCAAAATCTGCTTGGAATAGAACCATCACCTTATTGTGCACCTAAACAAATCACCATTAAGTGGAACATCACAAGCTAAGTGTCTGACAGTTTAAGAGTGTGTGGTTTGATAATCAATAATTTACCTTTTCATGTTTAAGTAGGCCAGATATTACAAAGTCAGTATCATCTACAATTTAGGATTCCTTCAGACAGCCAGCACAGGTGCACTCCAGCCAACCACAAGTGCAAACTTTGGTTTTTAAACAATTCCTCCACATAATTTTTGCTATCTATCTTCATGTACCTTTCTGCCAATCTAATGTCCACCTCAATGTTCTGAACAAAAGAATGAAAACAAGTACAACATCATTTTTTCTTAACACCAGAGATTTATAGTTCAATCGATGAAGTTAACAACTCACATTTGACCGTGATACAACCC